TTAATCTTCAACAGTTACAATAAAAAATAACCAACTATATACTGCAGTAAAAACTACATTTCCCTCTGAGATGTAAAAAAGAAAAGGAAATACTGAAGTACAAATACCTCAGAACTCTGCTGCAGCACTTGAGTAAATGTTGTTAGTTGCTTTCTTCCAATGGTTATGATCAATATCATAACCAATATGTATTAACTCGGCCCCAGGTCTCGAGTCAAGTCTCACTTCTGAATGTAACACACCACATCGGCTCTCAAGTTTAAATTTTAAACAGAGGTCATGCCGATTCAAAAGGGAGCCCAGTGCCAACTTTAACATCCCCAATACATCCCCCGGTCCATGTCCTCGCCCCCTATCACTTTATCAAATTAAATATTATAACCAGTCTCCACCGGAAAAAATCATTGCACTTTGTGTCGAATGAAGTTCATCCCAAAAAGTTGAACTGATAGCACATATCTGGTGGGAGCAGACCCAAGAATCATAACTGCTTTTGGCTGAAATCAGTCATACAGTCCTTGACATGAGGCTGCTGTTGGGAAATGCCACCGTCTAGCCATTTGGGACATTAGTTATATAATCAGGCACAGTCTCAGCAACCCACCTCTAATATCATCTATGGTTTCTCTCTCTTATTTCTTGTTGTTTTATCATTTCTCCCTGTGTCATCGTGGGTTTTCTCAGGGTACTCCAGCTTCCTCCCACAGTCCAAAGACATGCAGGTTAATTGGTGACTCTAAATTGTCCGTAGGTGTGAATGTGAGTGTGAATGGTTGTCTGTCTCTATGTGTCAGCCCTGTGATAGTCTGGTGACCTGTCCAGGGTGAACCCTGCCTCTCACCCAATGTCAGCTGGGATATGCTCCAGCCCCTCCGCAACCCTCAAGAGGATAAGCGGTTATGAAAATGGATGGATGGATGGATGGATGGATGGCATATTTTTTGTTGAACTTCGAATGTAAATCAGGTCCCGGACTGTAAAAAAAAGAAAAATAGAGCTGTATAGTATAAAAAAAGTGACAGTGGCAGATCCATGGGCCCCTCAAAAGAAGTACAGGTTAAGCCCTGAATTTCCCCAAATCTTAGAAACCCCCCTATGTACACCTGACCTGTGCAGGGCTGCCGTGTGGTACTTGCATCTTACAAAGTCAATGAAGAACAGCAAACATCAAAAGGTTGAAACTGACCATTTGTTTATATACTGATAAATATTAACAATGTTTGTCATGGGCCCTTGCAAAAGTGGCCCCTGGGCAAAGCAAGTAGAGTTTGGGTGGTCTAGTCCAGTGGTTTTCAAACTTTTGTTTCTCAAGGCACACTTGTATTCAGTTCTGTGCACAATAGCTTCTATAACAGTGGTTCCCATCTGGTGGGTCACGGTCCAAAAGTAAGGTCGCAGGTTCATTCTGAATGGACCTCAAGTGACTCGAGTGAAATTTTTGACACAGAGCTTTTATTTAAAGTGACTAACGGACAGCTACTTAACAGAGACAGCAAACTAGCTCATCGACATGGCCAAACGCAAGTATGACACTGAATATCTTAAACTGTGTGGACCTTGAACTAATGAAATGGAATCTGGACCCTGTAGCTGGACCAGTTGGGACCCACTGCTCTATAACGTGTGTTATCACTCTTATCACGACATAAGGCAATAAAAATAAGAAAAAATAAGACAGGTAGCTTTCATGATACTGTCTACTGACAGGTCATCCTTACGCATGCTTTGTTGTAATTTTCTCTGAAAAATAAAACGATCCATCTTCCCACTCACGGCTTTCCCCTTGCAGATGTTATCATCCTTCACACTGGCTGCCAATCAGGGCATTTAATGTGTCACACTTATATTTCCCCTGTGCAAACAGCCACAGATAGGTTCCCCGTGAAGGTCTTTTTAATTGAATTAAATTAAATTGCATTTTTTAGCTAGCGCACACCATTTGAGAACCCCTGGTCCAGTCAATCCTTACGTTATTTGTTCGTGTTGTGCAATACCTCAATTAATCTAACCTGTTTACACATGTTGTTTCAGTGTTCCATGTTCTTATATAACTCATGCTGCGTACAGCATACTGTATCTGAAGAGCAGATACCCAATCATCTACAGATATGACTTTATCATCATGCCAGCTTCCTCTCTGTATTTGTTTTACTTAAGGACGTGTAAGTCTTTTTTGTCCTGATATCACTTTTCATTTGTTTACCCTCTGTGATTCATAAAAATGAATAAATAAATAGTCCACTGTTGTACAGTATATGACTCGTGGGAGCGGAACTCCATTTATGTTTTGTGTTCCTATAAGAAGAAGCCGAGATAAGATATGACCCAAAAGGCCTTGATTCTTTTGTACCTTGACCACTGTCTTCAAAAATAAGTCAATAATGTTGTTGACCTCACCCCCTCTACCACAACACAGCCATCAGCTGGGGAGCAGGTTTGTCCCAACAGCAGATGCCAGTGTAATATATGAATACACTCCCCCTTCTGACGCACAACACAAAGCCTGTTCAGTCAATCTGCAAGAGAGTCTATTCATTCTTTGATACAGACAACATGTTTATATCAAGTATATGAATACAGGATGTTTACTTTATGAACTTTATGACAGTCTCTGCGGTTGTTTGGTTCCTTTACAGGTTGGCCAGTGTTTTCCAGTCTTGCCATGACACAGTGTGCCACTTTACTTCCAGTATTTTCCCAGTTATTTGTCTCTTTTGCATCACAGTACTGCAGGAAGGTTTTTTATTCTAGTCAGCATTTTCATCAACTAAACACACAACACACACACAAATCTCATCCAAGACTGTGTTGAAAGGATCGGGGGCATTGTCCAAACTTTCATTTGGAAATATCACAACTCTGCCATCTCATAAATGTCTGCCAAAGTTCACAGACAGTCTTATCATTCGGGAACCTGATCCAAAACCAGGCAGTCTGATTTTAATGTGGGACTTAGAACTAATAAAACAATAAATGAGACACGTGTCCATGTCCACTGTTTGATCGACAGGTCCAGCAGGCTTAATTCCCACTTTATAGCAGAGTTGAAAGAGCAGATTAATACCACTCTAATTCCTGCAGGACATGATATCTTGGGATGTTTCCCCCTGCTTTCAGTTTTAATACTATAGTTTCCCGGCTCTATCTTAAAATGTAACCTGGATTATAGCCCCGTTTCCACCAAACACTTTTGGTATGGTACCTTTGGAACGAAAAGTAACCCTTCAGACATGGTACCTAGACCCTAGTGTTTCCACCGCAAACAGTACTCTTAAATGTGGGCGAGATTGTTGTCACTCACAGCTGCGTCCAGCACTCACTGTATCTCCTCATTACCGGTGACACGGACGGAAGTCTCTGCCTCATTTATCGTCCACAGAACAAGGCTGCACGCCGACATTTTCAAAACAAAATAAAACAGGCTGCAGTGAGAGTCTCTCTCCCAGGGGGTATTTAAAAATAGCAGGTTTGTGCATTTAGTCCTTCTCAGGCAAGCTCAGGGGTTTAGTGTTGCCAGAGCCCACAGGAACAACGCTCCACAGTGCTTTCTTTTTCTCCAAGTGAGGATTAGAATATATGTCATCCAAGAGATACAATAAAAACTAAAGTAATGGTCAAAGTTGTCACATTGATATTTAAGGTGTGCTGATGGATTCATGTCGTCACCTCATACACTGAGTAACATTACAAGTTAATGTTCCACCTTAAAAGTTGCCGGCAGTCGGCCCAGTGCATTAAGTTATTTTTTCTCAGACTCCAGCTGCTGTGAGAGGCAGCAAAACATCCTTTCATTTTATAGTTATAGTTTACTAATGTACTTGAGACTTGCCAAGGTATGAACAGAGGTTACATAAAACCAGGCACAACTCAGCCCTGAGCAGAGCGACCGTCTGCTATTGTTCACAGCTCCACCTTTTAGTACCAGATCTGTGTACAGAACGGTTCCATTTTTACCATCCACAACTTTTCACAGTGGAAATGGGAAAAAATGCCTACCGAACTGAATTGTACTTTACTGCTTGGTGGAAACAGGGCTTATGAGATGATGGGCTCCTCCATCAGCCCAGACATGCAGAAGGCCCCACTACCTCTCCTAAAAGGAACAAGACACACAGACTTTATAATTGTTTAGCCTCTTTTCGTTGTTGTTTGTAGTCAGTGCCTCTTTGTGGTCAATTTGAACCTTTTTTGTATCTTTTTGTGATTGTTTTGCCCCTTTCTCTAGTTGTTTTGTGTCTCTTTATGGTCAGCACGTGTCTCTTCAAGTGACATGTTGCAGGTGAAGGCCATGGAGGGGCCCCTCTGACACTTTGGGCTTCTGGGCCTGTGTCCAGTAGACCTGTTCAGTAAACCACCCATGCCAACAGACATGACAGTGATACTGAGCAATCCTGTCAAGCAGCATTTAACTCTAACAACTAGCTTTAACATTGTAGTTTACCCTAGCCAAGGAGTTGTGCCCCTTCAAAGAGTCATACAGTAGGATAAACCTGAGGGGTCGTGAGATAATTAATAGGACAAGGACGGAGAAAAGCAAAGTTCTGCAACACAAATTTGTATTCATTTTTGAGGCAGATCATTTGACTTGTTTGGCCTCAAACAGTTATTGACATGAAACCATGTGAGAGGAGTCAAATGTTTCATCAAATGTCTCTTTGACTGAACTACTAAAAATTCTTAGAGGTGAAATGTGACAAGGGACCACAACTGCCTTTTCTACCTCAGGCCAGAAGTGTTGAGAAGCACTGGTTTAATATTAATTCTAATATGATTTTTCAATGTAACATCTTACCCATATCTATGAAATAAATGTCATGCTGTGAAAGGTGTAATACATCCCACTGAAATGTAAGAAGAAGTATAAGGTAGCAGAAAATAGAAATACTATTCATTACTTCAAGTAAAGTACAAGTACCTCAACATTTTCCCACATTAAAACATGGAAGTGTTCCTTTAATGTCTCGAGAGCATATTATAGAAACAACAGAAAGACAGTTCAGTTGAGTTGTGTATAAATTATTTTTATTTTCCTTCAGAAAGACACCCGATCCTGAAATTATTGACGATGTATGACAGTGTCTCCAAATGATGTTGCAACCTAAATTCAACCTATGACTCTGTTTGAGAAAGTGTCAGGTCTTGCACAAAGTCCAAAACCCCAGACAGATGCCACTGCTGGGAGATGGTGAGGAAAATTTCTGTCATCAGTGTTCTGCAGCAATTCCCCACACAGCAGTCTAAATGAACAGCCAGGTCTCAGTCATGTTTACAGAGGCAATCAAAAAGTAAAATTATCTGAGCTTTCAAAATAAATATGCATTCAAATCAATTTCATTATCAGCCCAGTTTAGACAAAGTTCAGATGTGTGTCCTTATCCACTCCAAAGCTGCCTTTGTGCTCCTCAAACAGATTGCTGAGTTCGTCCATGTAGAGCTGGTGGAGGGCATCCAGTTCCTCGGCCGTTGGCTTCTCATTCCTCTCCACCCTAATCGGTCGTCCAACTGCAGGGAGGTGACAAGGTGAAGTGCAACACACTCACAGTCAGTTTACTTTAGAATTTACAGTATGGTGTGTTTGATGCTATTTGAGGGTTGTTTATCTTAGGTCTGCCTTGACATTACTAGCTTCTGCCAAAATCAACTGCTGGTTGGGAAATACATGAGCATAGACAATATAGCTCAGGTTTGTTGCCCACCAGACAAAGTCTGCTGCAGTGCATCCTTTATTTGCAACCCAATCACCAGGAAGAATGTTGATATTATACATTTCTATAAACCACAGGCACATTACTTTATTTTGTATTGGATACATTGAAAGTTTATGTTTCTCAAAGCACTGTGGTGAAGGTGTGGTTAAGTTTAGGCACAAAAAACACTTGATTACAACTAGGAAAAGACCGTATATTGGCTTAAAACACCCATGTTTGGCGGCCCAAAAACCATTGGAAGAGCAGGTTCAGTGGCTCAAATGCTGCCGAGAAACACCGCAATGTGCCATTAGAAAACCCAGGTTCTGGCCACAAACACCGGGTAAAATTCCACAGAGGATTGCCAAAAATCTGTTGGCGTTGTTGTTTATTTGTGCAGCTTGGCAGGTGTCTCGCCATTCACTTTTCAAAATCAGTGTATTTGTTTATTCATTCATTTTCCTGTCACCAGACTATCACAGGGCTGACACATAGAGACAGACAACCATTCACACTCACATTCACACCTACGGGAAATTAAAAGTCACCAGTTAGCCTGCATGTCTTTGGACTGTGGGAGGAAGCTGAAGTACCCTGAGAAAACCAACACTGACACGGGGAGAACATGCAAACTCCTCACAGAAGGCCCCCCGGTCTCACACATACAATTCCCCTCTGGCAACTGGGGTATTATTTGACATACTACAGGGGATATTTACAGTGACTGATACAACAGCACAGAATCCATAGATTCAAGCAATCAGTGCTGCATTTACTGTGCCACCCTGCTAGATGAGCATAGCATACTCACCTACTGTAGTGATGGGTTTTCTGTACGGCATGAGACCAAAGGAGTACTGGAAAACGCCACGTGCATGGAAGAGAGGCAGGGAGATACCCATGAAGCTTTGCAGCCTCTCCTGCGTCCATCGAAGCCAGGTTCCTCTTTGGTTTTCTACTTGATCAAACACTTCATTCTCTCCAAAGGAGAAGACTGGCACCAGATGAGCACTGGAGAAAAAAAAGATTTCAATGAGAATATTGTTGAGCTGATTTTTGTTCATACTTGACATGTGTCTCCTTGTGTTTCACTTTTCATTCTAAATTGATTTCATAACAGCCTGTGTGATTTCCCAGGATATTCCATGTGAGGGGTTTGAATAAGCCTCTGTTTCAAGAAGCCACACTCAAACTGTAAGAAACCTTACATGAATAGACGGACACAATCCTCTCACAAGCCATGAGACCTTGGAGAATTAACTGTATTTAACAGGAAAGTTAACTCATTCCCCCCTGAGGCTCTCTGCTCTTACCCATGCTCCATCGCAATTTTGATGAAGCCTTTCTTATTAGCCAGTAGTACATTGTAGGTCCCAGGGTGGGCATCAAGGGCCTCTGGGGCCCCACCGACTGCTATTACAACAGCATGACCACCACCTTTTTTGCGGAGCACATAGCTGGCGCTGTCTTTGTCTGAAGGAATCAGACCTGCAGTGTTGCAACAGAAAATAAGAAGTGATCAAAATAATATACAATGATCAAAGTAAGTCAAATAATACCTTGAACGCTACAAAATACAGTATATTTTAGACAATTATATAGAAGTACAAATGTTTCTGGCGCACACCTGCACACATGATGTAGTCTCTGAAGAATGGGGCTCTGAACCATAGTGGCAACATGAGCAGGTAGCTGGTGAGGCCAGGAAACAGCTGTTTGAAGCCTGTAGCATAGGTGCAGAAGTTGGTAAAGGCTCCTGCCACCAACACGCCATGGGGATGGAAGCCCAGGACGTAGTTGTGCCTGGAATCCAGATCAGCCGTCTTCACCAACTGGGAGAGGAAAAGAAAAGAATGCTAGTCCATTTTTGTATCTGAAAATTGATCCATAATCATGTAGTTTAGTTTATTTAATTTTTTATTTGTTGATTTGACAGGGACATTGCACAGCTTCTTGGCTACACCAGAGTTAGCTATAAGCAAACTTACATCTGTAGTCACTGGGCAGGAAACAGAGAATAACATCTCTGCACAGAGAATATTATCTCTGTATTCGAATATTCTTGAATTCAAAATTAGTAAAGCAGCAGCACTCTTTTACATAACTTAGCACTGAGCTCAAAAAGTTTGCTGCTCTCCTAAAGATGGCCGATCTGCCAAACTCAGGAGATCTGTGCTGTATTGCACAGTCACCGCCGTCGTTCGCCCCAGTTATCCTTGTTGTAACCACGCAGAATGATTTATTTCAGGGTATCTGATTCTCCCGAAAAGAGCTGAGGGCGGATTGTGTTGGCCCATCTGGCTGCAGCCCAAACATGTGCCTTCATATCCCAGTGTCAACTCTCTGAACCATCTCTCATCCCTCCTGTCTGAGTGCCAAAAGGCAGCTGAGTACATTTACTCAAGCACTGTACTTAAGTGCAATTTTGCAGAATTTCGACATTTATTTGTGTATTTCAGTTTTCAGCTACCTCTACTCCACTACATTTCAGAGGCAATGATTACAAGTAGAATCTCCTAAACAATGGATCAATACAGCAGGGCTGCAACTAACTAGGAGCTCGGACAGGTAGGGGGGAGCCAGGTTGTGGAGGGCTTTGTAAGTGATGATGAGGAGTTTGAAGTGGATGTGCTGGGGGATGGGCAGCCAGTGGAGATTATGAAGGATGGGGGTAATGTAGTCATGGGTGCAGGAGTGTGTGAGAAAACAAGCAGCTGAGTTCTGGATATACTGTAGCTTCTTGAGTGTTTTGGTTGACAAACCGTAGAGGAGACTATTGCAGTAGGCCAGTCTGGAAGTAATGAATGTAGCCTTAAATCAGTGGACCTCCCCTTTGGTACCTTAAGTACCTTATGTTCATTCTCTAGTATTTTGATTTGGCAAATGTTGATTGGAGAGTCATTTGTTCACTACTGATAAAACTCTGGGGCAGCTCTTCAAAGCTATCTAAAAGTTGAGGTGACTTACAAACATCCTGGACTAGTACCATACTCCATTTGTTTGTCACTGGGCAGCGAATCCAAAGAGATGCTTTAATGTTTACACTTAACACAGAGGATAGCTCTGTTTGGCAGGTAAAGTGGCTCTAGTGCTCTACAAACCTTTGGGTGTGTAATCAAACCTTGGAAATTGAGTGATATACATCTGTAGTGTTAGAAACAATGGTTCCCCATCAACTGTAAAAGTCTAGATAAGATATCTCACCTATGGAGCTTTGTTTGCATGTCTCCACCAGTCCAGTGCGGATGGGGACGAGATAGTGAGAGGCACCAAAGGTCACTGTCAAAAGTCGCCTGTCATGTGTTGTCGTTTGTTTTGCAGCACATGGCCAGCATTGTCCTCAGAAAAAATGTGCTCTCCTCACTGTTTGTATCTGTGTGTGAGATAAGTATTTCAAGGTTCTCATGGCACAACATTAACTGCTACTATCAGGGAGCCATGATATCTTCTCAGGGACAAATACGTAGCTTTAAAGATGGGATTTTACACTTTGATTCTATTTTTACTTTTACTTTTTTTGTTCTTTCCTTTCTTTTCACTCATTTATCTAATAAAAAAAGAACATTTTCACACAGCACTGATACAGTAGTAGTTCTGTGTAGCCCATCGCCAATAGGATGTATAAAGATCAAACAGGTTTGTACCGTAGAGGCAAGTCAGGATATCAGACCTTCACAAAGCTTGTTCATTGTTTTATGTCCACTCTGTTTGTATTGTGTGTGCCCGCTGCTGGTGGCCCCTAGCTCACAAAGTTAATCATTAGGACCGGAGCTGTATATAAACAGAAGAACTGTCCTCTAGTGACCAGTCATTTTGTGCTCCTACAAGGTTGTCACCACAACATCATCTGTATTATCCCTGCCTAGGACTTTGGTTTTAATCAGTAATATTTAATGAATTAAACGTATTTTGGGGGTTAGATTTGGATCTAGACAAACTTTCAGCCCGAAAAAGAAAAAGGAAAAGTTTAACATTTTGGGAAATATCCTTATTCACTTTCATGAGAGTTCAATGAGAACACTGATACCACTGACATGTCTGTTAGCTGGAGCAAGGAAATGACTTGCCCACTCTAGCTTTGCATAACAACTCAAGGCAAGGATAAACAGTTGGCCTGGCTCTGCCCAAAATAACTCATATCGGAGGATTGTACAGCCTTGGCATCCTAATTTCCAATATTAGGAATATTATTCTCCATCTTATCATGACCTCCAGCATGCACTGGGGCAGTTTGCAGTTAAATGTGAAGCAGTCTGGATGAGAGTAAGTACCTCCAAGTCTGAGGCCATGGTCCTCTGTCAAAAAACAATAGATTGCCTCCTCTGGGTTTGGAGAGAGTAACTGCTCCAAGGGAAAGAGTTCAAGTATCTTGGGGGCTTGTTTATGAGTAAGGCTAAAATGGAGCATTGGATGGACAGGCAGTTTGATGTGGCATCAGCAGTGATGCTGGCATTGCCACCGTAGTGTCAAGGTGAAGAGGGAGCTGAGTTGTAAAGCAAAGCTCTTGATTTACCGGTCCATCTAGGTTTCCGACCCTCACCTATGGTCATGAGGTTTGGGTAGTGACAGAAAGATTGAGATGATGGATGATAGTTATCAAAATGAGTTTCCTCCTTAGGGTGGCTGGGCTCTACCTTAGAGATAGGGTAAGGAGTTCAGACATCCAGAGAGAGCTCGGAGTAAAGCTCTGTGCTGGTGCTCCTTCGCGTTTAAAGGGGCCAGCTGAGGTAGATTGGGCTGATCAGGATGCTTCCTTTCTGGACAGTGATAGGAGACCCCAAAGTAGACCCAGAACAACACTGGAAGAATTAATATCTCATCTGGCCTCAGAATGCCTCAGGATCCCCCAGGAGGAAGTGGGAAGCGTTGCTGGGGAGAGCAGTGTCTAGAGTACCTTGTTTTGCCTGCTGTCCCTGCAACCTGTTCCCAGATAAGTGGATAAAAATGGATGGATGCAATAATATTGTCCTCTTCTAGCAGATGCAACTGCTCTTCTTACATTTACTGCCATGTTGCAAACACGAAGTCCAGCCTACAACATACTGAAGTACAGGAAGTGGTGCAGCAGTGAAGTTCTGCAGCATGTGCTCTTGGCCTGCTACCTTGCTCAAAATGTCTTTAGCTGTTTGTTTGTTGTTATCCTTGAGATTGCTATTGCCTACCTACTCTCTGGAATCTTCCTCATAGCTCTCTATGATGTTATTATAACACCATTGTTTAAAAAAAAAAAGAAAGCTTTATCCATTTGTTTTTGAGAACTACAGACCAATCTCAAACCTTCTGTTTCTTGAAAAGGTTATAAATCAACAACTACATACAGTACAGGCCAAAAGTTTGGACACACCTTCTCATTCAATGCGTTTTCTTTATTTTCATGACTATTTACATTGTAGATTCTCACTGAAGGCATCAAAACTATGAATGAACACATGTGGAGTTATGTACTTAACAAAAAAAGGTGAAATAACTGAAAACATGTTTTATATTCTAGTTTCTTCAAAATAGCCACCCTTTGCTCTGATTACTGCTTTGCACACTCTTGGCATTCTCTCCATGAGCTTCAAGAGGTAGTCACCTGAAATGGTTTCCACTTCACAGGTGTGCCTTATCAGGGTTAATTAGTGGAATTTCTTGCTTTATCAATGGGGTTGGGACCATCAGTTGTGTTGTGCAGAAGTCAGGTTAATACACAGCCGACAGCCCTATTGGACAACTGTTAAAATTCATATTATGGCAAGAACCAGCTAACTAAAGAAAAACGAGTGGTCATCATTACTTTAAGAAATGAAGGTCAGTCAGTCCGGAAAATTGCAAAAACTTTAAATGTGTCCCCAAGTGGAGTCGCAAAAACCATCAAGCGCTACAACGAAACTGGCACACATGAGGACCGACCCAGGAAAGGAAGACCAAGAGTCACCTCTGCTTCTGAGGATAAGTTCATCCGAGTCACCAGCCTCAGAAATCGCAAGTTAACAGCAGCTCAGATCAGAGACCAGATGAATGCCACACAGAGTTCTAGCAGCAGACCCATCTCTAGAACAACTGTTAAGAGGAGACTGCGCGAATCAGGCCTTCATGGTCAAATAGCTGCTAGGAAACCACTGCTAAGGAGAGGCAACAAGCAGAAGAGATTTGTTTGGGCCAAGAAACACAAGGAATGGACATTAGACCAGTGGAAATCTGTGCTTTGGTCTGATGAGTCCAAATTTGAGATCTTTGGTTCCAACCGCCGTGTCTTTGTGAGACGCAGAAAAGGTGAACGGATGGATTCCACATGCCTGGTTCCCACTGTGAAGCATGGAGGAGGAGGTGTGATGGTGTGGGGGTGTTTTGCTGGTGACACTGTTGGGGATTTATTCAAAATTGAAGGCACACTGAACCAGCATGGCTACCACAGCATCCTGCAGCGACATGCCATCCCATCCGGTTTGCGTTTAGTTGGACGATCATTTATTTTTCAACAGGACAATGACCCCAAACACACCTCCAGGCTGTGTAAGGGCTATTTGACCAAGAAGGAGAGTGATGGATTGCTGCGGCAGATGACCTGGTCTCCACAGTCACCGGACCTGAACCCAATCGAGATGGTTTGGGGTGAGCTGGACCGCAGAGTGAAGGCAAAGGGGCCAACAAGTGCTAAACACCTCTGGGAACTCCTTCAAGACTGTTGGAAAACCATTTCAGGTGACTACCTCTTGAAGCTCATGGAGAGAATGCCAAGAGTGTGCAAAGCAGTAATCAGAGCAAAGGGTGGCTATTTTGAAGAAACTAGAATATAAAACATGTTTTCAGTTATTTCACCTTTTTTTGTTAAGTACATAACTCCACATGT